AGCCAGGAAGAGAAGGCGATGCCTGCTCAGCGCCTGCCCACAGCGGGTCAGTAGGAAGCCTGTGTTCTGTTTCACTGGTGCTCCCGGGGCCGTCCTCCCACGCTGCCGCCCAGAAGGTCAAGTCGCACCAGGAGAGATGCCCTAGGAGAGGTGCAGCAGAGCCAGGAAAGGCCTAGGCACGGTCTCTCGAGGATTGCCCTGGGGTGGAAGTTGGGGGCAACAGAAGGGCCACCAGCAAGAGACCAGGCAGGGGACGGCTCCCCGAGCATCCAGGACAAGGTGCAAGGGGTGTACCACAGCAGCCGGCCCACAGCAACCCGGGTGGGTCTGGGGCTCTGGTCTCTGCCCTTCCCATCCTCTCCTTGGTGACGTTCCCAGGGAAAGGCTTGGCCATGCACTTGATGTCAGTGCTTGCTCTTGACATTCCCAGTCCCTATAACTTGAAACCTCTCCTAGCTGGGAAATGGATGATTTCTCCCCAGTGAAAGGAAAGAAATGGCACAGTGAAGCCCAGCCCCCTTCTTGCCCTGAATGTCAGTGAATTAGCCATTTCTGTGCAGTGGGGGAGGGGCTCGGCCAGGAGAGAGGGGGTGCCTGCTCTGACCTCTCCATTCCTTTCTCCCCGTTTGCATTCTAACTGTTCTCCCGCCTTGCTCCTTAGATGACTCCTACATCACGGGATCCAGAATGCATCTCTGTCCAAATCTTCCAGATTGAATTCTTTGGGGACCCACTTTGCCCAAACATTGGAACAGCCACCAGGCTGATAAATCTCCTTCACTTATAAAATCCCTAGGAGCCGTCCAGGTGCCAGTGTGGGCAGGTGATATGGGGATCGCTGGAGGAGAGTCTCAGGATGGCACTCCTGGGGTGAACCCTTTGTCTACTCAGCAAGTCCTGGAATTCTTCTAGGTGGCCTGTGGGTCACAGTGGTATTGGGTGTCAATGCTGTTCCTGCTGCCAGGTTCTCCTCTCCTCTGGGGACTGGAAACACGACCTCCTTGGCTCCTCTGTCTTTGGGTGGGGCCATATGACTTGTTCCAGTCAAGGAGCGGACAGGATGTGACTTCTCGGCTGGCGCCTTGAATCACCTGTGTGAGATCCTCCCGAGTCTCCTTCCTCCTAACTAGGTGATGTGGCCACATTGTCAGGTCAAAGTCACGCTCAACCTGGATCCCTGAGTGATTCCAGAGGGCAGAACTGCTGCCAACTTTGGCCACGTGGCATAAGCAAGGAATACGTTTTTCTCGTGTTAAGTTGACAAGATGTCGGATGGTAGAGTACTGCAGTATCACCCAGCGTATCCTGACTGATGCCATCATTTGAGAGGGAAGAAGAACAGACTTTCTTTTGACATCGGTATCAACGAGGCGTGATGATTTTTTTTTAAAGATTTTATTTTTTGTCCGAGAGAGAGCATGCACACAAGCAAGCAGGGGGAGCAGCAGAGGGAGAGGGAGAAGCAGGCTCCCCGCTGAGCAAGGAGCCCAATGTGGGGCTCAATCCCAGGACCCCGGGGTCATGACCTGAGCTGACCCAGGCGTCCCTGAGGTTCATGATTAAACAAGCATTGACATTAGGGGATACTGCCCTTATCACTGCTGATTGTGGATATTACAGAACTACCCAAGTGGAAGAGAAAAAGTAGAAATGTGGGATCTGGGTAAAGGCATACAAATGACAATCACTATGAGATCTTCTCCTCTGATGTTCCTTGTTCCTAATGACGAGGAGGCCGGAACAATTCTGCATCTCATTCGGTAAATTGCCCATCACTGGTTTGGGTTCCCGAAGACTCTCGGGCTATGAGCTAGAGATCAGTGAGCAGGAGGTTTGTTAGGGAGTGCTCCTGGATTAACAGCCCTCAGGAGGGAAGGGGTGGGAGGAGGCAGGAGTGGGCAGAGGGAGAAGCCAAGCCTCCCTGGAGTCTCAATGGAAGACTCAGCCAAGGCTGGGAGGAGTTCTGAAGGTGGGAAGACCCTTCAGAGCTCTCCCTAAAGGGCCAGGTGTTTATGTTGATTGGTCACTGGACACGGTGCCCCAGGAAGGGGGTGTGGCTTTGGACCTGGTGGCTCTCTTCAGCTGCCGCAGGCCCTAGGGGAGATCAGGGTGTTTGGATCCAGCCCAGGGGCGGCTCACATGATAAACGTAGAGAACTCAGTAGCGCAGCCTACAGCAGTGGCCGAATTTTGGAGGGTGGGTATGCATCCTCCTCAAGGGTAAAACTCTCGCTCAGGAGAAGCAAAAGTAACTGGGAGTGATGATTTATCCTGGGGACTTAGCTGTGTCACTAGCAGCTCAAAGCTGCCCGCAGGAGGCTTGAAGAATGGGCTGGAATCTGGGGTTTGGTACGCAGGCACACATACTGACTGGCCTTTAGTAAAATGCATACTTGGACGTGTTTCACTACTGAGATGATGCAAGCCAAAATCGCCAGAGGGCACAGACCCCGCTGCTGCACCTGCTGGGCCCGACTGACTCTGCCCGGTGGGCAATTCCACCTAAACAGGGACCAAAAGGACCCTGGCTCCATCCTTACTTTGTAGCCTCCTGCTTGGGGTTCTGGCTCTCAGAGAGCAGCCAAAGTCAGCATAAAAAGGAATCAACCAGTCCATTGGTTTTATATATGCAGAATAGGTATGTGTGTGTACACATACATGAGGACTCCTTGAGCAGTTCTGAAAATGTCCCTTTAGGAAGGTCTATTGTTGCAGTAATTGATATTGTTTTTTAAAGAGTTTATTTATTTATTTATTTATTTATTTATTTATTTGACAGAGAGAGACACAGCGAGAGAGGGAACACAAGCAGGGGGAGTGGGAGAGGGAGAAGCAGGCTTCCCGCTGAGCAGAGAGCCTGACGTGGGGCTCGATCCCAGGACCCCGGGATCATGACCTGAGCCGAAGGCAGATGCTTAACGACTGAGCCACCCAGGGGCCCCTGTAGTAAGTTTTTTTTTTTTTTTTAAGATTTTATTTATTTGACAGAGAGAGACACAGCAAGAGAGGGAACACAGCAGGGGGAGTGGGAGAGGGAGAAGCAGGCTTCCCGCGGAGCAGAGAGCCCAATGCGGGGCTTGACTGGGATCATGACCTGAGCCGAAGGCAGATGCTTAATGACTGAGCCACCCAGGTGCCCCACAGCAATAGATTTTGATATTCCAAGCCCACCCTAAGAAAGTATTCATTAGGGCCCATCGTAGGTACGTATGCATGTATGCATATATAGTATGTGCAAATATTATACACACACAAATATATATATTTTTTCTATTAAGTGCCTGAGTGTCTCATTTAAAATTAATGCTCTCTGGTTTCTTTGGGCATATGGCTGCACGGAATCTGACAGTGATGGGGTGGGGGAGGTTGGGGGGTGGCCACAGGAGCAGACCTTGAGTGGCTAGCTCCTAATTCTGGGAAAGGAAGTTTTTGGTGATGAAAAAATACCAATTAGGAAGGCAGAAGACCAAGGCTTGTAGTTGTGTGATTGTAGACAAAATGCTAAAACCTCTTTGGCCCTCAGTTTCTATCTTGGGAAAAAGCAGGGAGAATGAGTGTGTGTGTGTGTGTGTGTGTGCGCGCGTGCGTGAGTGTATGTGTGTTGTACCAGGAATACTTAATGTGCCTTCCAGAATTGCAAATACTGTGATCATATGAAAATTGACCAAGGTTAGCAGCTATTGGTTTTCTCCTGCTAGATACCGCAGGGCTGGAAAAGAATGCAGCTCACCAACCACCTTGATTTGGAGCATAAGAAGATATAGCGTGACTTGCAAGGCTAGCAGGTTTGCATTACATTGAACTTCAATGTCTGGACCGGGAGGAGGGGAGGGCCATCACCCTCCCCTCCTCCTCTCTCATGGCTGGCCTCTGCTAGAGATAGCCCTGGATTCCAAAGAGCCAGATGGGCAGCTGAAGGTGCAGGGCAATGACCCAACCTCTCCTTCAGCTTCCTGTGGAACAGGGGTCTCAGATCTTTGATATCATAGAGACATGCCAAGATAAAAGGAGGCTACGTGTTTTGGAGGTTCCCTTCTGCTGGCGCACAGCAGTTCTCAAACTTGAAACGCATCAGGATCTCTTGGAGCGCTGGCTAAAACATAGATTGCTGGGCCCTGCCCAGAGTTTCTGGTTCACTTGGTCCTGGATGAGGCCTCAGTTTTGCGTCTCTAACCAGTTCCCTGCTGCTGCTGCTGCTGTTGCTGGTCCAGGGACCCCACTCTGAGAACTACAGTTCTAGGACAATGTCAAGTATTCACTCAAAAATGGGGAGGAAATAGAGCAAGGGAAAGTAGCTTTTAATATCTTTTTAAGAGGCTTTTAAAATGGTTTTTATATTGAGTCAATTTAAGGACTTTTCATTTATTCTTCTCCTGAAAACTGGGAAAAATCTGAAACTACTGCCCAGCAGATATCATACCATGGAAACCAGGAGTGAGGAAAGCCTTGTGATCGTGAACTATTTAGCCACTAGCAATTGACCTTAAAAAAAAAAAAATCTATTAATGCCAAAATAATAACGCAGGTTTTAAAACTAGCTTTTGAAATGTGCTCATAGGCTGACACTTACACACATGAAAAGGAAATCGACATGTTTTTTAAAATGAGTCATTTCCATGAAAGATACCTGGCTTGGGAATTACTGATTTTACTGTTTTGGCATTTTACTGGGTGTTTCACAGACTGTGAGGCACGGGACAAAAAGACAAATGACATAAAACCCTGTATGCCACCGTGACAAATGTCAGTGAGGCTAAGGGGGGTTGGCAGGGTGGGGCTGGGTGGTTGCTGGAAGGCAGCCTGGTGAGCCCTAAAACAGTTACCATCAGGGTAAGTAATATAGTTTCCATCTCCTGCCTGTCCTAGACAGGCAAGGGGAGACAGATTGCACTAGCCCCTCTGTAACTTTGGAGCATCCCTCCCTCACATTTCAGGGCAACATCTTGTAATTCTTGGATTCCTTTTCCTAGATCAAATAAAGAAAAAAGCTACATACGCATCTCTGGAGGAAAATGTCTGTATTAAAAGCCAAAAAAACCACATTAGTACAAGAAACGCCCACCAGGCCACGTCACTGGATAGATCGATTTGGAAAAGGTTCATAAAGTTCATTTTTAGCGGTAACAATATGTGGGTGTGAAATCCTTCCCATGCCCCCTCCCCTTTTAAATAAATTAAAAAACAACTAACTTCAAATACTATGTTTGGATACAAAGAGCTTCTCTTACTACAGCAATAGCAATTCGATTTTTTTTTTTACTAAAACTTTCATTTAAAACAGTTATTAAGTATATAAAACAAATACACAGGATTTGGTCATTTTCTGCCATGAATGTAGGGCACGTGGGTGCGGGGAGGAAGGAGGGCAGGGGGATACAATAGAGGGGAAAGGGCCCCGTTTCCCTCCTCTCTTCCTAGCTGCGGATCCCACCCTGCGGGCGCAAGGACTACCACCTGCCTTCCGGAACGACGCGCGGCACGCAGGTCGCTGGGCAAAGCCGCTGGGGCCCCTCCGGCGGCCCCCTCCCCGGAGGAAGAACTAACGGTCACCACAGCACGAAGCACACCGGCCGAGTCTCCCGGCGGGAAAGGCACCCGAGAGCGCGGCCACAGGGCGGACGCGGGGAAGAGCGGGCCGGGTCACTTGGCCGCCGCCCCCGAGGTGACGGCCGCGGCGGCGGCGGCGGCGGCGGCGGCGGCGGCGGCGGCCGCGGCGGTGGTCCCCGCGGGCACGGCGGCGGGGGCGGCGGCGGCGGCGGCAGCGCTGGCGGTGGTCCGGCGCTGCTCCATGCCGTTGGGCAGGAAGCCGGCGATGATGGGTACCGGCCAGATGAGGGCGGCCACGCTCCACACGACGATGACCAGGGTCATGAAGCAGGCGACCAGCGTGGACTCGATGGGCTTGCGGTTCAGCCGCCAGCCCGGCTCGCCCTGCAGCTCCTCCAGGCTGAAGTCCAGGCAGCAGAAGTGCAGCGGCTCGCCCTGCAGCCACAGTGGCCCGGGGGGCTCGGCTGCGGGGTAGGCGGGCAGCGCGGTGGGCGCCCCGGAGGCGGCGGCGGCGGGCCGGAGGCGGCCGGGGCGGCGGCCGCGCACCCAGCCGCAGCCCACGCAGAGGCGCAGGTCCTGCTGCGCGCCGCCGGCCGCCAGCCCCAGGTGCTCGATGAGCAGCGGCGGCCCGACGCGGTGGAAGGCGGCGGCGAAGAAGGCGCGGCCGTGCGCGTTGGTGGAGAAGAGCAGCAGGTCGCACTGGAAGCCCCGCGGGCGGCCCCAGCGCACGAGCAGCGAGCTCAGCATCTGCCGCTGCACGCTGATGTTGCACGCCGCCGCCGCCTCCTCCGGGTCCGGGCGCTCGGGGGTCCCGGGAGCCGCCGAGGCCAGCAGCCGCGGAGCGGCGGGCTCGCCCTCGGACGACGCGTTGACGGAGGCGTTGAGGGGCGCCCCGCCGAGGCCCGGCGCATCCGCGGCCCCGCCGCGGGCAGGCGGCAGCGGGCAGGCGGCGGCCAGCAGCGCGGCGAGCGGGAGCAGCATGGCCTGCGGCGAGCGCCTACGCGCGCGGGGCGGGTGGCGGCTGCATGGCGCACGGGCGACGGGCAGGCGAGCGGACGGCGGGACCACGGGAGCTGGCGGCCGGGCGGAGTGGGGGCGCGCCCGGCACCTG